AAGAAAAATAAACCAAACCGATCCCATGGTAGAAAAAAATAGCTAATTGTAATAAAATTACTATCCTAACATGAATCAAGTAAAGTGTATAAATATCTTTCTGCATCAATTATGGGCACATTAATATATGTTGCTATAAAGGAACAATCTTTGCCCTCTTGGGGTTTATAGTCTAATATGAAGATAAATTATAATAGGTTCTGGAAGATTGAAGGTCATGGATCTTTCCAAAGGGGACATTTCAAAAGAATGAGAAGATGATTGTAGTGTAGTATATGGAAGAGGCATGGAACAATAGAATGGGCTAAAGTGCATTCACTCAGTTTTCTGAAAGCATATTCAAAGAACCATAAAGTTATATCATCAGATCTCCTATGAATGTGAGGGCAAGGCCAACCTTACTGCCTCAATTGGAAAAATGAAGCTGTGAGGTTTGTGAAAACAGTAAAGAATTCTCTTCATCAATTCAAAACTAACAGAAAATACATGCACACTTCACCACTGGCAGTTTGGTTCCAGGTAGAAAGAGGACGGAGGATAAACTGTAAAATAATCAAGAAATCTCTTAAACTTGATGTTGTTCAAACAAACAAAAAGAGATAAAATTCGATTCAATAAACATTGGCATTAGTGTTTAGCAAAAGGGAGGACTTCCTATATTAGTAAATATGTGCTTTTTAAATAAATAACTGTTTAGAAATTCCCAATGAATGGTGAATATCTGTGGAGTAGAAACTCTAGTTAAAGGTAGTTTGTGCTATTTCCTGATAGCCTTTAAAATTAATCTAGAACAATAAAATCCAAATTTAATGTGATTTGGAATCTTACATATTTAGAGGGAATAGAGGAGAATTTTTAAAATGTGGAACTACTTTGAGTTTTTCATAAGAAATACTTTAAGCAAGGCTAAGGTTATCTCAATTGAATTACAAATTGGACATGGCTGCTTTCAGAACTTGGGACAGTAGCTAATGAAGGATCTGATTAAATTGTGCTCATAAGCACACACATGTTCCATGCACAGGGATGTGGAATATGTAGTCTTTTGTTCCTGTTCCCCAATCCCTGCTACAATCCATAAAAAGATTGAAATAAAATAGAATTATGCAAAATAATGATGACTACTAATTAGCATTAGTAGCAATGAAATATTAAAAATTAGCAAATATTAATATAATCCAATAATATTATCCAAATTTATTTTATTAATTTGATATACCTATTTTTTTCCATAAGCTGTTGAGGCACTTATTTTTATGACAGGAAATATTTATTACAGATATACGGGGAACATAATACCAAATAAAGTCATTTTATATTCTCCATTGTGAAATGCAAAAACTCGAGGGACTTGTAGAAGTCATGCAAAATATCATATCAGAGAAAAAAGGTGAGATTAAAATTTAATCTCCTTTCAATTTTCCAATTTAAGTTACCTTTTCAAATTCATATTATTGATATAATTGTGACTCTAAAAGTATTTTCATTTAAAATATTATTGTAATCAGAGACTGCTGAGAGTACAAATTATCACTGTACTTTGCATGTACTCTGTCCAGTTTATTTTATTCCTTTAACCCTTCAACATATATTTATGTAATGCATTCACTGAAGATTTCCTGAGTTACCATTAGGGGATCCATCCTGTATTGGATACTGGTAGGAATAATTCAATAGGAAACAGTGGAAAATAATACTTGATGAGATAGAGATAGAGATGATAGAGATAGAGATAGAGATACACAGCAATCGTTTATCCTATATTATAAGGTGACATTGATGAATTTAATGAAAAGACAGACCGAATTTAGAAATTTGAATCTGGAATAACATTTTGAACTTTGTCTATGGGGAGGGCTTATAGTACCATTTACAATAATAGTGAGGTTGAGAACAGATCTGCTTTAAGAAAATCTGATAATGTGATTTTCTTTTTTTACTCCGTGCATATATCTCTTAATGTATTTTTAACTTTGTAATACAATTAATTGTTTATAGGTCCGCCTCCACCCCCCCCCCCCCCCAGTCTGTGAGATTTTAAAGTACAAGCAATGACTCGTTCATCTTTGTAAGTTCCAGAATACAATTTGGCACTTGGTACTCACTACATACTTGGTAAATATTTGTCACATGCATCAACATAAATACGGGATGAAAGGAGGTCTTCTTACACATAAGGAGTGGAGAAGTAGATTTTAGAGTCATTTTTACACAGACGGAAAATAGTGCCTACTGCAAGTCTAGCCACGACCTGGCACACAAAGAAGTTCATTTGTATTTTTCGAGAATGCATTTTGAAATGAATACATGTATGAATGAATGAATGAAACAATCAGTTCACAAACGAATAAACACATTAAGAAGAGAAAATGGTCAAAGTCTGAACTTGGAAAAGTACTATAAAATAATAAGCTAGAGAAAGAAAATTAGTGACAGGCTTGGAAAGAAATAGTTAAAAGAAAAAGCAAAGAAATAGAATGTCATAAACAACAATAACATGTTTTAGTTTTGTTTCCAAAACACTTCCACATTATTTCACTTTAACACCGACAACAGTCCTGAGAAGTAGGGAGAGAATGTATTATTATGCTTGTTTTTTGTTTTTTTGGTTTTCTTAGAGATGAAGAAGCTGAGCCTCAGAAAGGTTAAGTGACTTGGAGGAGAGTATTTCAAACAAAAAAAAATATTTAACATTTTTAAATGCAGAAAATAGAATAAGGACTGAAAAGATGACACTGCATTTGACATGCAGTTCATTAGAGCCTACGTGAAGTGAGGCTGGAAATGGGAGAAGAGGAAGGGTGTGAAGGGAGGTTAACATTTTAAAAGAGAGGCTGAGATAAATATATTTAAACAGGTATCACGTGTGTGATAATCATTAGGTATCACAGAAATTACATCACATAGGCATTAGGATGGAACAGGAGTTACGGCAGAAGAGGGATAACGTACGTATCGTCTCTTCTTATCCAAATGGACAACTTGCTTCCAGTAAAACTGGTTTTTACCATACCTTAAATATATGTGTGCACATGAAAGTTTTCTGACTTTGAAAATTATTATTTTAAAATTTTACATGCCATTTGGGTAAGATCTTCCTGATCAATTTCTAACACATACTACTTCCTCCACCCCTTTCTTTAATGTTTTCCATCCAAAAAATAATACTGAAAACATCTGATGGGAGTGGAGGAATGAACACTATCCATACCCCAGCTATTCCAGCTCCCCTCTCATTTGGAAAGTAATTTCTTACTAAAGTAAACATCGAAGAGCCCCAGTAAAGCAGATAATTCTACTTAAAGATAATTTCTCCAGGTAGTTTATTATTCCAAATCAGGAATAAAAAAGCATAGTGAAGAACCATTTTTCCCTGACTTCTCTCTAAATGTATGAGGGTTAGTACATGTGAATCCTGGAAGAAACATACACAAGTAAATTCTGGAATAAAATACAGAAATAAATTCTGGAATGATCTTGTCAAATAATCTCAAATAGATCACATTTTCTTCTACTTCATATTTCAAATACTAAGTTAAATCTCTTACTTTTCAAACATATATACACGAATACACATACACACACACACTGGCATAAGCTTATGAAAATTGCAACTGAGATTGCAAAAGCTGTTTTCTATGACATTCTAACTCACACCTACTTACATTTGTTTAGGAAGAGATGCATTTTTCTTAATATTAGGATTCCCAGTTGTGGAACATAAATTTAGATAAGTAAGCTAAATTATTTTTTGATAAGTGAATCATCAACACAATTGCCAGTTAAACATGATTCAACAGTTTACTTAATTTTTGATGATGTGCAGAGTAGTAAGAGCAGTATGATTTTTTTAGATAATGGAATACAATTGACACAATATTCTTCCTGAACCCAGTTAATATATAAACAAGCTACACTGTGACTGTGTCTACATATCACATAAACATCTAGATGAAAAGTGACAAATTCAGGCCTTGATCCAGCTATTTAAAGAAATTTACTTGGTGACATTAAACATCTGGATGTTTCCAAATATCAAGATGTTTGATGTCCTGCAGATAAAATATCCAGATGACTGGCTGAATTTTTTACTTCCGTGTTGCATAAAAATGTACACTTGCATGTATATATCTGTTCTTATTTCAGACACAAAATGTAATTTTAGCACGGATATAGTAGGAAGTCATAAAGAGAACTCATCAGGTTTAGATTTTTTTGTTATTGTTGTTCTTAATGAATCTCTGACCTAGAAAAACATCTTTTATTTTCTCTTCAGTAAATAAAAGAGTCATCATTTCAGCAGTGTGAATTAAAAAGTAAAAAATTTGCAAAATGAAGATACCTACCTACTTAAGATTGCCTTTACAATGATCCACCAAAACACGCTATGTGGGAAAAGTATAACACAAAGTAATTTTAATTGACTGATTTACAATTTAGTTGAAATATTATATAAAATATTTGTTTCTCCCGTTATATTTTTTAAGCATTTTGTTCTTCCTTTGCTTGTCCATTTATGTCATTCAGGAGTTCTACCTTTGTATTTTGATAATTTTCATGTTTGTAGTGATGGTCTGGCATGAGGATAGCACTAAACATGAATTCGTTTTAGGCTATTTATTAGATCTTAATTTGTCTGAATCATTGAAGACTGGCTCTCCCAACTTCTCTGCCACATTTTCTTGCTTTAGTCTCACTGAAGAAAAAAGGCATTTTTACATAGAAAACAAGGCAAACATTATTATAAAGTAGAGTATGTATTTTGGTTATCAGCTTAAATGAAAGATTAATGTTCTTTTCAATTCCCGCCACTTTAAAAATAATTCTGTATAAGCATTAAATACCAGTTCTAAGCCTTTTGAATCATGATTGCGTGTACTTTGTACTAGAAGAGGGAAATGAATGTTAAAGTGAAAAACAATTCCATGAAAGCTGGAAATTATTATGGCACTAAAATAACAGACAATTGCATAACACATTTCAGCTCCCGAGCACTCTACCTTTAGGATCACTCAGAACTGAGCCAAAGGCACTGATGACCACATCGGCTTTGAGATGGACTATCTGATCTTCATCTTCATTCCAGTTTCCAGTTTCATCTTGCTCTGTCCGAACAAACTGCATAGCAACAATTCTCCCACCTTTTAGTATAACCTTCCGTGGAGACAGGAAAGGCAAAAATTCACACTTTTCTTCCTTAGCAAGTTCCATCTAAAACAAAACGGAATAGAGAAAAAGCTTGAAAGTGTTTCTTATTCCATATAATATTTGATTTTTAATTCAATTATACATACATGCTACATCTTATCATGTTTAAATCAATACAAAGCTTTTTCTTTGATCAAAGATGAGTTTCAGTTATCAGCTATTTACATTTTGTAAATCACTGACTCAGGGGAGCCTTGGATTGGAGTTGTAATGTGGAAGTTTATAGATCACGGAATCATAAGGTATTTCTTAAGTTTTAGGTATCACATGCCCTACAGTTGGTGGTTTGTGAGGTTTCTAACTGTAGTAGCCTATTCTCCTTATGCTTTAATTTCTGCCGATCAAGCTCTCTTTGTAATCATGCCACATATTAAAATAAATATTTCTGTTTATTACCAGGCTGCATATATCTAAGCTGGAAAAAAGTCAATAAAGTGGGTGAGCCAATCTGTGCAAGTACATGATTAGAATGGTAGGTAGGAGAAAAAAAGACTAGAGAAACTCTGTGGAACTAAGAAAGAAAAAAAACATTTATTCTTCCTATTATAAAAACACAGAAGCAAATACTATAAATGAAAATTTGGAGAAAGTGAAACAAGCATACTCCTCCTGAAAAATTCCCAGTTTTTTCCCATCTCTAACAAAATTTATCCTGCCATAGAATTGTGGTATTCTGGCTTTTGTTTGTTTTCATATGCATAATGGAATGCCCATCAAGACGGAATGTTAATAAATACTCATTTGCTTATTTTTCCAGTCATTGTTTTTGGGGAAATCGAGGCCTTTGTCAATGTAATCTGAAAAAGTATGTTGAGTGTTCTTTTTTAAAAAATGTAAAAATGTCCTCTTGAAGAGGTTAGGGATGTCCAGTCTTAGGCAGGTGGATTCTTGGTAGGACTCCTGATGAGTGGTTCCTACTGAGATTATGAGTGTGAGATTTCAAACCAAGAGTTATCTGGGCTATGTCAAGATGGAAAAACTGAGACATAAAGCAATGTGCTCAAAGTCGTAATTGATCCATCGCCCCATCTTTGAGCAATCTACCTATAATTAGTGGTTCCTAGTTTGGCATACATCAGAATCACCTGGAGGGCTCCTTATAACAAACTGCATGGGATCACCCCCAGGGTTTCCAATTCTGTAGGTTTGAGCGGGGCCTGAAGATTTGCATGTCTAGAAAATTCCTAAGGTGATGCTATGCTGCAAGTCCAGGGGCGACACTTTGTTAATCACTGTTTTACTAGACTATAGCAGATTGGCTCAGAATTTTGTTTGTCTTTCACTTTCAATGACAATAATACTGCTCCCAGGGAACAATCATTAATTCTTGGTGGAAAAAAATTCTCTGATATCGTAATGGTTTGTGCCCCTGCAAAGAGCCACAGTCAGAAAGAAATGTACAGTATACCTATAGTTATGGGGGGTAATTAGGAAAAAAAAATCAGGAAAGACTCCCAAAGGGGTGAGAATAAAATAAATGGTTGGGAAATACCGGTCTATAACCTATATTAGCATGAAGTTATTCAGCCTATGTCTTATTTAGAACATTTTTTGAATATTGTCCTTAAAGATTTCAAAATGGAAACCACATAAACAATTATTACACAGTATTTTCCTTTTTATTATAAAAATTAAAACATTAGTAATATAAAAAATAATAGATGGGATATTATGGTTCATAAGTATACAAAACTGTGGATATAAAACTGTTCACTGTTCAGACAGGGCAATTAGAAGTCAGTGGAATTCAGCTAGGTTTAAAATCTGCTTCTACTGCTTATTTGGGATATGTTCCTTACATGAAAATGGGGATAACACCACCTAATTCATTGGTATGTGGTGTTATTTAAAACAATTCAGAAATGTAAAATGCCTAAAGCAGACCTTAACATATAGAAGATGAAAATAAATGCTCTTTATTCATAATTGCTATTCTCTGAATTCACTTTCTTTCTCCCAATCATCCTTCAACCATTCAATGACACTTAGCAAGTGGATGGTAATTTCAAGAGAAAGGTGGCCCAATAACAAGGCCCCAAAACAGGAAGGGCCAAGACAATCTTAGACTCCTCTTGAATTTTCTACAAAATAAAAATGTATGATTTCTGGAAGGCAAGATATTCCTTGAATAATTGACATTACAAAATAAATATGGTCCCAGTAGGTGAGATAAGTTTTCTGTATCACTTTAGTCACATTTACGTAATGTAGCACCTTATAACTCATCAATATAAACCAGTTTATTGTGTTTCAAAAATGTGAAGTGATGCTATATTTTAATGATAATGCCATACTTGACTGAATAACAACAACAAATATTTATGGTTTGAAAAAATCAATACACAGTGTATATATATCACAGTAATATTTTCTGTGGAGGGCAGAAATACAACACTGAACTATGCTGCATATATTGACAGTAGGTCTCACAGACTGACGTAAAATCTGGTCTCACTCTGTCTTCCTTGTCTATTAATACTTAGGTAGTATCTGTCATTATGCATAGATAATCTCTTATGCTGTTTGGCAAATTTGGCATTAAATTTGGAAACAAAAATTATACACTACTAACAAATCAAAAACTTCTAAGAATTTAAAATGAAGATTATCAATGATTTAATGCCTGAGCACGTTTTATTAATAATGATATTCTTAGCACAGTTTTGACTTCTGAGGACCTAAATATCATGTATAGTTATGAACATAAATTTAATATATGCTCAGCTCACATCATAATTTTCTATGTGTACCAGGTTAGATAACATATCTTCAAATATTTAGCATTCCTGCCAGCTGTCTGACAGTGCACAGAATCTGGGCAGTATGAACACTGGCCCCCACAGAGATTATTCTGCATTTTTGCTTTTGAAACTTTAGAGATGTTCCTTATTCTCTAATACATGCAGGATTAGACTATTGGGCAGCAGACATAAATCACGCCACTTTCTGCTATTTTGCTATTAAATAGCTAGATTTTCCATTTAACATAAGAGATGGACAATGTTTCCTAGAAAGATAGGAATACCACTGGATATATATATATTTGTTTGGAAAGTATTAATGTTATACCAGGAAAAGAGAAACTAAGACCATGATAAGATTTACCTTGGAAAACAGGGAAATACTAGGACAAGAGAATACAGAGTAAGGGAATGTAGTGGATGTTTATAATTTTTTGCTAACTCGGGCATCCATTTTTAAATATGTTGGACTTTCTCAGACCAGAAGCAGGGCTCAGTCACTCTTGCCACAGTTTCCAGCTCTACCTTCCCCCTAGTTCCTTAATGTGGTTAATCCAGATATTTGCCTTATACACCTGGTGCCTGATGACCACTTCCCTATAGGACAGCTGAATGTGGCCTGCTTGGCTGGCACCAAGACCATCACATCCCACATGGACTGTGCAGATATGCCACAGTGACCACCTCCCAGTGACTGCGTGACCTGCTAGAACTCATGCCTGCTTGCTTTAAACCCACCAATTAAAATTCCCCACGAGAATCCTGTTTGGGTAACAACCTGGGCCTAACAAAGGCATTGACCCATGGGTCCCTTTCTCTTCTCTCTCTCTCTCTTTCTCTCTCTCTCTCTCTCTCTCTCTCTCTCTCTTTCTCCATGTACTCCCTGACTTCTGTGTGTGTTGCCTCTGAGTGTGCTGTGTACCCTCTCCCAGGAACTGCAAGTAATAAAATCTTTATTTCCATCTTGCATCTCTCCCAATCACTGAAGGGGCACTCCCCATCTTAAAGATCCTGAATTAAAACAGTGACATTATATGTCAAGTGAAATATCCTTTGAACTATAACAATATCCTTGTGAACAACATACGGTTTTGCTCTCACTATTTAATAAATTTAACTAGACAAATAATAAAAATAAATATTAGTAACTGATATTCTTTTAAGTGCTTTACATGTAACTTATTTCATCTTCACACAGAAAATATGTCATAATACCTATATATTAGTTATTACAAAAAAAAGTATTGAGTTTTAAACGAACTTTGTCTCCCTGCTGTGGTGCAAAAAGCCAGCACAACACTGGGCATCATCATGATTTTACAGACTTAGCACACAAACTTAGGCACGCTGCTGCTTGCTGGCCTCATAAAAAAACTCTGTCTGAAGAAGTATTATTTTTTTCCTACAAGAGAGAAACTGAGGCTCGGATAAACCAAAGATACATTAAGAAATGACAAAGCTTAGCTAAAATTCTGATCTGGCCCAAACTAAATTCTATGTGGTCTTTATTATGTCCAAGAATAGCAATTCTTGGAAAGAATTCCTGAAAGAATTCTTTAAAGAATGAGACTCCGTGATTCCAGTTTCTAGTTACTGAACCTCAAACAAGATAAAGTAGAATAGGAAAGAACATAGTCAAAGGTCAAGGAGTTGGGTAAATAAAGATGCTCTCAAGGGAAGAGGAGATTTGAGCTTCCCAGTCTAAGTACATTTTGAGGTACTATAAAGCCATGAAACGCAGGAACCAAATGATGGGCAGATGAACCCAATATTGTAAATGAGATAATGGAGGTACCTTGAATCCTGAGAAAGGGTAAGTTTAGAACAAAGAAAGTACTACTTCACAAAGTGAATAATACAGACATAGAACACATTATCTTAAGACATAAACATGGAAAACTAAAACAGAATTTAAGTAAGTTTTTTTGTTAAATAGTAAACTCCTTCACAACACTCTTTAAGTATAGAAAAAAATATTGTATCTTTTTATCCCTAATGTCCAGGAGTGATATTCAAAAATTAGCAACTGATAAGTATAAGCATATGCACAGTCAGACAAATGCCCTGCAAATCAGAATATATGCCAGCCAATAGGCCACATGGAGAGGCATCAAGATAAGTGTGTCTATCGAAATGAATGGCACACAGTAAAACATGAATAAAGTTTCATTTACTAGGAGGAATGACAAATTAAGATGAAAACCCAAATGACATTCGAATTAAGGAAGGGACAGCCAACTAGTAGTATATTGAGTGAATGGC